CTGGGTGCAGCGGCTTACGCCTGTAATCCCGGCACTTTGGGAGGCCAAGGTAAGTGGATCACATGAGATCAGGAGTTCAAGACCTCCCTGGCCAATGTGGTAAAATCCTGTCTCTACTAAAAATACAAAAATTAGTGGCCAGGCAAGGTGGCTCATGCCTATGATTCCAACACTTTGGGAGGCCTAGGTGGGTGGATCACCTGAGGTCAGGAGTTCGAGATCAGCCTGGCCAACGTTGGTGAAATCTGTCTCTACTAAAAATACAAAAAACTACCTGAGCATGGTGGCGGGTGCCTGTAATCCCAGCTACTCGGGAGGATGAGGCAGGAGAATCACTTGAACCCAGGAGGTGGAGGTTGCAGTGAGCCGAGATTGTGCCATTGCACTCTAGCCTGGGTGACAAGAGTGAAACTCTGTCTCAAATAAACAAACAAACTAGCTGGGTGTTGTGGCAGGCGCCTGTAATCCCAGCTGCTTGGGAAGCTGTGGTAGGAGAATCTCCTGAGCCTGGGAGGTAGAGCGTGCAATGAGCTGAGATTGTGCCACTGCAATCTAGCCTGGGCGACAAGGCTAGACCCCGTCTCAAAAAAAAAAAAAAAAAAAGTCTAAATGTTTCAAATGTAGAGATGAGGGCTTGCTATGTTTCTCAGGTTGGTCTCAAACTCCTGGCCTTAAGCGATCCTCTCACCTCAGGCTCCCAAAGTGCTGGGATTACAGGCACGAACCGCCACGCTCGGCCAGTCTTTCAGTGTTCATGGCATTGGCCACTTTGAGGAATACAGGCCAGTTATTTTACAGATTTTTTCAGTGAGTTCAACTTTGATGTTTCCTCAGGATTAGACACAGGCTACGCATCCCTGGCCGGAATACTACGTAAGTAAGTGATGTGTCCTCCATGAGAATCACATCTGGAGGCACTCTGTCTCTGTCCCACACTGGAGATGTTAATTTTGATTGCAAGGTCAAAATACTGTCTGATTATCCATTGTATAGTTACTGATTTTTTTTTCTGTACAAGTAATAAGCAATCTATGACCCTATGAGATCATGGACATAACCAGTTCTTCAGCAAGCTTCCCACCACCTTGGATTTAGCATCCAATGATGATTTTTGCTCAAACCAATCTACGATGGTTGCAAAATGGTGATTATTTTCTGACTTCATTACTTTCTTCACATTTATCAGTCAGCCTTTTATTGTCAGGAAGAGGTCTGTGCTTCAGCAACACACTATGTATCTTTTTGTCAATTTATTATTATTATGGGCTCATGGATTCCTATTGCATTCAACATATAATCTGTTACTGTCATTTATTTTGATGGTCTCATTGTCCCAGATTACCTTGGAAACCATTATGCAATGGTTTCTTAGATATGACACCAAAAGCACACACCACAAAAGGAAAAATAGATAAATTGCACAACATCAAAATTAAAAACTTTGAGACTTCAAAGAACACCACCAGGAAAGTGAAAGGCAACTCACAGAATGGGGAAAAAAAAATATCTGCCATATAACTGATGCTGGTCTAGTAACCAGAATATATAAAGAATTCTTCCACCTCAATAATAAAAAGATAACTCAATTTTAAATTGGGCAAAGGTTCTGGATAGCTATTTTCCCAAAGATATACAATGGCCGATAAGCACATGAAAGTGAAATCAACATTCATAGCCATCCAGGAAGCACACACACAAAAAAAACCACAAAATGATTACAGTTCACACCCACCAGGATACCTTTTGTCAAGAAGACAGATAATAACAAGTGTTGGTGAGGATGTAGAGAAATTAGAACCTTCATATACTGTTGATGGGAATGCAGAATGGTGCAGTCACTTCAGAAATCTGGTAGACCTCAAAAGCTTAAACCTAGGATTGCCCCATGACCAAGCAACTCTACTCCAAAGAAAGGAAAACATATATCCACACAAAAACTTGCACGTGAATGTTCATAGCAGCATTATTCACGATACCCAAAAATAGAAACAACACAAATGTCCATCAACTGATGAATGGATAGACAAAACATGGTCTATTCATACGATATTCACTTCATTTCTATGGTTGAATAATGCAATATTATTCAACCATAGAAATGAAGTATCATCATGTGCCCTAACCCAAATGAACCTTTAAACATTATGTTAAGTGAAAGAAGCCAGATACATAATGCCATATTTTATGTAACTCCATGCAAATGAAAGATCCAGAGTAGGCAAATCCATAGGGACAGAAAGTAGGTTAGTGTTTGTCAGGGGCTGGGAGGAGCAGGATGGGCAGTGACTGCTAAATGGGTGCAGGGTTTTGCTTTCGATTGATGAAGATATTCTAAAATCGAGTGAGGTGGTAGTTGCACAACTCTGCAAATATGCTAAAAATCATTGAATAGTACACTTTAACTGACTTGATTGTATGACACGTGAGTTATCTCTCAATAAAGCTGTTACCAAAAATATTGTTCAAGATCTGGCCAGTCAGTGCCCCTTTGTGCTAGCTCTTATGTCCATTTGACACGCCCCAGTCCGTATTTTTAGCACTTTTAAAATTTCTGGTACAACAAGAAAATCCAGACTTATTTAATAACCCTTTCCTGCTACAGCCTGGAAATCAGCCATATTCCCTAAAGTCGTGGTTCCCTTTTATGTTGAATGTGAACCAAGATCTGGGCATTATTTTATTTAATCATCACAATAGCCCTATTAGGTAGGTATTAGCATATCTTCATTTTACAAATGAGACCCAGAAAGGTTAAGTATGCTGCCCAAGATTACATAGCAGCCCAGCATTCAACACACACACACACACACACACACACACACACACACACACACACACAGTGAAAGTGAAAGTTATGTCTACATTCAGCCCACCAAGAATTGCACCAGGCAGGGTAAAATCATGTGCCTTGGGAAAAAGCACGTGCCTTCTGTCTGGGGAAGTGGGGTTGTGGAGAGATCAGCACCCTGTGTCCTGACGCTCCTTCTGAAAACACATGCTTGGACACACTCACAAATGCTGGTGAAGACAGTCTTCAGTAATCTCCTTTGCCAACCTCACTCTCCATCCCAATACCCAAATTCCGCCCATAGCTGGGTGCCCATATAAGAGGATCTACAGATGAAATAAGATTGGCCTTGGTTAGGCTGCGTGTGGTGGCTCATACCTGTAATCCCAGAACTTTGGGAGGCTGAGAGAGGAGGATTACTTGAGGCCAGAAGTTCAAGACCGGCCTGGTCAACATGATGAGACTCCATCTCTAAAAAAGAATAAATAAAAACAAAAATAAACAACAACAACAGAAAAAGATTTTTTTTTTTTGAGATGGAGTCTTGCTCTGTTGCCCAGGCTGGAGTGCAGAGGTGCAATCTCGGCTCACTGCAACCTCCACCTCCTGGGTTCAAGTGATTCTCCTGCCTCAACTTCTAGAGTAGCTAGGATTACAGATGTGCACCACCACGCCTGGCTAACTTTTTCCATTTTTAGTAGACATGGTCTTTTGCCATGTTGGCTAGACTGGTCCTGAACTCCTGACCTCAAGTGATCTACCTGCCTCAACCTCCCAAAGTGCTGAGATTATAGGCATGAGCCATCACACCCAGCCTGGCCTTGGTTTTTAAACGTTGAAGCTCAGAAATGGGTATATGAGGCCGGGCGCGGTGGCTCAAGCCTGTAATCCCAGCACTTTGGGAGGCCGAGGCGGGTGGATCACGAGGTCAAGAGATCGAGACCATCCTGGTCAACATGGTGAAACCCCGTCTCTACTAAAAATACAAAAAATTAGCTGGGCATGGTGGCGCGTGCCTGTAATCCCAGCTACTCAGGAGGCTGAGGCAGGAGAATTGCCTGAACCCAGGAGGCGGAGGTTGCGGTGAGCCGAGATCGCGCCATTGCACTCCAGCCTGGGTAACATGAGTGAAACTCCGTCTCAAAAAAAAAAAAAAAA